TTCTTTATGCACCAAGAGCTTGTAACACTCCAAAGAGAAAGGAAAAATTGAAATGGCATCATATGACCCCTTTAATATCAGAATTTCCATTTTTGGGTGAACTATCCCTTTAAGGCAAAATGGCTGCTGATTGGCTGTCAGTGTTTTAGAAGAAGAATTAGAATTAGAATGAGCTTTATTGCCAGGTATGTTTACACATATGAGGAATTTGTTTTCGTGACAGAAGCTTCCACAGTGTAACAGAATGACAGTGACAGAACAAAAAACACAGATAATAAAAAATAAAAAATAGAACAAGTAAATAAGGAATAAAAATATATAAATATTGCAGGGATATAACTAAAGACAGGACAAACTAACAAAAACATAAAAACAACTGCGGAGCACGCCACGGAGGCAGCCATCAACGCCGGCGCCATCATGAATCTTTTTTTTTTGTTTTGTTCATCAGTTGGAAAACAAACCGTTCTGTATTCCAACAATATTTTACCTCTGCATCATAATGGATATCTCTATTCTTGCATAATTAGAAAAAAAAAAAAAATTAATTACAGTCATTGGTGTAAACGGGCCTTAAACTATACAGGATCACTTGAGCAAACCTATATTCATCACTCGATTCAAGCAGCAGCAAAAAACACTCTTAGCATAAATGCATATCAAAAGCAGCGGCTCATGTAAAGCTCAACGGGGTGTCCTCGGCTGTAGACACTTTCAGTGGATCAGATGGAAGGAAACACAGGTAATCCACTCGCCATATCAGCGCTGACAGAGTCAACACATACATTAGCATATGTTAGCATTCCTATTCTTGTGGTCTCACATGCTGTCGCAGCAGATTTGTTCACTGAACGACAAAGCCGAACAGATACAGAACCGGAATACAGTTGTATGCATTAGAAGCCCACAAACATGCTGCAAGACACAAACGCAAACATACATTATTAAGATGAATCTTGGTCAGGTAAGTGTGTACACAGACACCGTGTGTACCTAGTCCGTTTCATAGGGAATCCCCAAAAGAAGTCCAAGCATTCAGTTTATTTGAAGATTCTGCACTGCGTGTTTTCCAAGAGCGTTTACTTTCAGTTGTTCAGGCATTTTAAAACGTCTAAGTGTCAATATAATTGGGTTCATCGACACATGAGACATAAACAGCTAAAAAGTATGTTATTTTACCTAAAGAAATTTCAAAACTTTTTTTAGCAATAACTATTGCATTATATTGATCAAAAGTAAAGCCTTTTATGTTGTTGCAAAAAATGTAATAATAATAATGAAGACTGGAGTAATGATGCTGAAAATTCAGCTTTACCATGTGAATAAATTACATTTTAAAATATATTAAAATAGTTATTTTAAATTATAATCGTATTTCACAATAATACTGTATTTTTGATCAGAAAAATGTTTTGCGATTTCAAGAAAAAAAAAAAAAAAAATCATAACGTAAAAACTGCATGCATAGTGCATAAAACTTTTATATAGAAAAAAATATGATACTGAAAACTACTAATAAAATGCATTTTACAATTATATGAAAAGAATAAAAGATGGCATTTTAGCACACCTAAATTTCCAAGTTAAAGCTCATGTTTTGCATTCATTACACAGTAATTTGTAGTGCTTGCTTACACAGTAATTCTGGTGAAAAAAGTATGCAAACAAATGTATGCTTTGCTAATGGAAGAGAAAAAGCAACTAGAAGGTGTAATCATATTTAATAACTGCAGATGGACTAAAAAGAAAAAGAAGGCATTCATGTTGACGTTTAAAATGTATTGTACACAATATAAAGGTTTGAAATTAAATGCTGGGCACTGGGTAAAAAAATAGAGACCTTTTTGCTTAAATTACAAACAGCTACTACTTTGGTACAAACAGCTAAACAGTTTGTTACACACGTTTAAGGTGTACCTTTGATCAAATACAGGGAAAAGAGAGCAAGAACATTTCAAACAAAAAGTGCAGATAATATGAAGACAATTCATATTTATGGAAAACCCAGAAAAATAAATACAATCAATAAAAAGCTACCTGGACAGTGGTTAAAAACATGATCCTAGTGATCAATGAAACAACATAAGCTCTTAAATGATGAATCCTAAATAATGTCTTAAAAAGACCCTATTAAATCAGTTCTCTCACATGTTGTTGAGAAATCAGATGGGCATACAGTGTACTATGGCTGAAATCAGTCACTGTCTGCCCCCTGCTGTTGAGACAGTAGAAATGTGCCAGGGTAAAACACCATTAAAATGATTAAACAGGATAGTTTCCAGCAAGAATGAGTGATATTCTCAATTTAAAATACATTGTAAAAAGTCAAGTGTAAGAAAGTGAATTCAGTTTGAGTCGGAACTTAACCCGTCCATTTTTAACTTTGATCCAATATGAATCAGTATGACCTCATTTCTCTCTAAACTGTCCAATTCCCTAACGAAACACTGACTGAGAGATACAGTCAACATTATACAAAGGATTCAAGTGCAAAACGTTTGTTAACAAATGCACAAATCACACCACAATGACAGGAGACAGATAAAAAAAAATGTGCAAAAGTATGTGGGAAAAAAAGTGGGAAAATATATAATGTGATTTCACAAAAAATACCATTTGTTGAAGGCTGTGTAACTGCAATTAAGATTTAGTGATCTGACCTCAAACTGCAGCTTAAACATTCGGTCTGGGACAAAACACACACACACACACACCCTTTCATGAGGATCAGTCCTCTGTGGACGCCCGTTTACTTTTCAGACTAAACCACCGGGATATGGATTTTCTCTTGACTTTTTCCTTCTTCATATCTGCAAATGGTAAAGCATAACCCACACTTAACTGCCAGGCACATAAAGTTAATTTCAAGAGAAACCAAGAGGTCATTTACTAATGGTGACCACAGAACATCAGTAACAGCTTCCAGGGCTATCCGGCCGTTTTTATGTCATGAATTGCAAATGGTTATGACTTTTGCCCACATTTATGCATTGGTTTAATTGGGTTAGTAAATTATACATTTTATTATAAGTCATTTTAGCTTTGAAAATGCAGACAGATCATTAGCCAAGGCTAGATACCTATGGTTTCCATTAGTGATCATTAAATCAAAATGGGTTGCATTACTTTTCCTGTTTGGCCTTTCAAATCGTGGAATATATAAACATGCACTGAGCAATTACTCCAAAGATTCATAGCACTTTGAGTCGGTGGGTGGAGAGTTGCACAGGTAGCAGTTATTCCAAAAAGAAAACTTTAGTTTTAACATCAGAGATAGAAATGTGAAAGAAAAAAAACCCCTAAACTGCCCAACCTCTGAACTGCTTAGTTGAAAGTGCAAACAATATTGTGCAATTAATTCAAAACTTTTGAGTTTTCTGTATTTAGCACAGTAGATTCCAGTGCCTTAATTACAATGTTGGCCTTGAGTAGAAATCTCATGTGCAACCAGCTTTACCATACTAAACTAAATATATCAGTTTATATTATTATGTTGACTAGAAACAGACACTAAACATTACCAAAAATAATTCTCTCTGCCATCAGCGAACAAATGGTGACAATAAACAATTGTCTCTTCACTGCCAGCCTCTTATTATTTGCAAACAGGAAGGGATGTTCATTTTTGAATCATCCAACAGACATCCAATGGACCATAATAAATAGAGTTGGCTGCAAATTTCTGCCTCTTTAAAATCAGAGCCAGCTGGTGCAGAGTAATCAGTTTCTAGCTAGAGAAATGTAATTTGTTGTAAAATAAGAAACTGTCATGTTTTTGAGAAACCTTAAAATGTTAAATTCATTAAAATATGATTTATTTTGAAAGGTTTAATATTTCTTTTGCACATTTTCCTCTACCTTTTTCAAAAGCTTATGGGAAAATGTATTTTTAATCTCAGGTTTTAATGCTACACAATACATAATCATAATACATACATAATCATACTTACCAAGATTCTGCATCATCTTATTCAGCTGCTCATCCTCTTCTTCCTCCCTGTAGATAGAAGTGTAAAAAGATTCACAAATGTCACATTAAGTAAGTTTAGGTATTCAATAGCACTCTGGGGAAAAAAAAGAATGATTGGAATGTTTTAAGCAAAAAAATAAATAAAATACAAATATATAAAAATAAAATACAGAATAAATAAATACTCCTAGTTATATAGTGCATATTATTCTAAATACATAAAAATAAATAAGATAAATAAATAGCCTATTTACTTTAATGAATGTACCTAGTCATATTGTGCATTTAAAATAAAATAAAAATACTTTTTTTTCCATCAAAATGTAGTAAATTCTCTATTCTGCTGATGTAACCAAGGATGTTTGGGCAAGGATGGTAGGATATGATGTGTTGCACACCTCAGTCTGTCTTCATCCAGCCCCTCCACTATGGCGTTCCTGTCGTTCACAATCCCCACAAGTTTGGCCATCAGCTCTTCCTCTCGTTTATGATCCCAAGATGTCTTCAGATGCTCTACAGGATAGAAACATCATTTAATAGCTAGATTAGATTACACAAAAGTGATATGAAGCTTTTAAACAAAAGTAGATCTTTTAAATTAACCAAATCATACAATCAGTTTACAACTGTCTACACAAAGCTTCATCATCATCCAATGATACAGTAACCCCAAAAAGTATGAATGCCATTGCACTACAAAAACAAAGTGTTTGATCAAGTGGCATCTGCAAACAAATGATGCTTGACTTTTTCCAGTGTCGGACAAACCTGGCTTGTCCATCAGTTTCCTGAGTTCGGCCTCAACACTGGGCTGCTCTTCCTCTAGATCCTGTGTCTTGGCACTATCAGAACCCAATCACAGATAATTAAACTGTTTAATGCACATTTAGAAATGGAAGATATTCACTATCAGCATTCCAGTAAGTCAACAGTTTACACATACATGTACACAAGCTCGGATTCTCGCCTCATGTAGACCTGTTTGTTTCTGATGAGGGTAAACCAGTCCACCATTAAGTCGTTCATTAATGTGTCATCTTCTCCTTCTGAAGAAAAAACAAAACAAAAATGCAAGATTCCTTTAAACATAATTGCATTTGTTTAGGCTAATACCTGATGCTAAGTGTTGAGAATCCACATTTGTAATATTTGTCTCCACCTGCTGGAGCACCAGAGGACATCATCTAGACTTTGAATGCTTATTTTTTAATAAGCATGTTTAAATAATTTTAAACCACTAATACAGTCTTAAACAAACATCCTCTAATTCTGAATTTATTAGTGTACAGTATATATATATATA